TAGCTTTCTATTTACGCCTCGTTTGGTACGGAGGAATGAGTGAGAATGTAATGTAATTCCAACTCTTTATTCATCCGTACCAAACACGATGTAATTTTAGACGCTAGAATTGCTATTCTCATTTCTTATCAATTCTCATTTTATGTGGGAATTGTTATTCCCAACCATTTGACAATGAATTGATATTCTCACTTAAGTGAGAATAAAAAATAAATAAACAATTTCCGATTATACCCTCCTTAAAAGATACGAATATATATAAATTCTCTTATGAAAAATTGTTTCTATAGAAATAATATCATTAGCTGCTCTTACAAATATATAAATAGATGTAAAATATTAAAATACTATTCTTTGTTCGACTTTGCTTTAGTTCCATCGCGTCTGCAGTAGAAAAAAGTCTCATCTTCACCTCGATGTGACTCGGTTAGGTAACTATTATTTCTTTTTAAAATATGTATCCGTGGCTAATCTTTACATCAATTTTTTATCTTTTGGTGACTCAGTTGCGTAATCTATTAGCAATTAAGTTAGTAAATATTTGATCTTTGGATGTATGATTTGAAGTTCCATTAAAGCATGTGTCTAATCTTTTCAGTAATTTTTTCAAAGCACTCACAACAAGAAATACTATGTTTAATTGATGAGATTGGAACTTTATATTTTGATTAGAGATTAACATGTTTTCTATTCCTTTAAACTTTCTAGGTTAACATGTTTTCTACTCCTAATCAATTGTTTGAAAGTTAACGGTGCATTTGAAATTTCATAGAAATTTTATATACAGACTAAAAGTTAACATCTTTTTCTAATCCTTCAAAATTTAGTATTTTCTTCCTCTTCATGCATGCGCATGGAATTCAGTCATAAATCATGTAGCATGCATATGAAATTCAGTCTATTGTATACGTTTGCACATAGTGATGCTATTAGCATTAGCCGCTCGTACACGTAGTAGACATGTAACATTAGAAGTTAGAAGTGTGGAATTATAATTATTTATAGTCAAAAATAGTTTCTATGAAAATTATTTTTTAATTAGTAAGCCAAAAGTCCAAAATTGCTGTGAGACGGTGTACCAAAATATAACTATCAACTGAAAAATTATTTCTATAAGAAAAAAAAATCATTTCTATAAAACTTATTTTTCTAAAATAATGAATTATTTAGTCATTTTTAAAATATTTTTATGTTTTTAAAATTCTGTGTTTTTGTAAGGGCAATATTAGAAAACTAAATTTTATTCTCACTTGTAAACAAATGATACCAAATATGGGAATGAGAATAAGACTGTCATTCCCGTTTTATTTTCTAAACACGTCCAAACATGAGAATGAGAATGCACATTCTATTCCCACATCTATTCCATTCCTACCTTCTTTTCATTCTCACTTGACTCCAATCCCGCGTACCAAACGAGGCGTTAGCGTTAGATGAAAAGGGGTAATGTGAATGGTCATTAGGTTCACAAAATCTGATGTTGATAACGAAGTAGATGTATTTTTCTTTGACCACGTAGAATAGAGCCTAAGAAAGAGCCAACAAGAGTTCCTGTAGACTAGTTAACAGCATTTAATAAGATATCAAAGGAAAGTATTGGTAGCTAGTGAAACACAGGGATCTATCACTGCATATTTATGTAGCACCTACTTGCCAGCCATTTTTTTTCTCATCATTTAACATGACATGGACCATAGGTTCCACCTCTCAATTCCTTTCCCATGATCTCCATTCATGGACCATTATTTCCACCTCTCAATTCCCTATTCACGGACGCTGCGATTTGACTCCCCAGCAAGATATGAAATTAAATTATATAAGACCCCACCATTCAAGACTGGATACTGTTTCAGGCGGGATGCCTGATCTCCGCACAGATAACAGCTGCCCATGTTTTTCTACTGCAGCGAGTATGCGGATGACTGATAGAACTACAATTTTAACCTTGAGAGACCATCTTGCTACTGCTTTGTGCATTTTCAAGAGGGGTATAAAGGGTCCTCGTGGAAAATAACTGTGTTATCAATAGTGAACTTGTGTTCTGTTTTATCAATATACTCGGTACCAAAGTAATAGATCAAAACTAATACCGTAAACATTTGTCTTTTCACATATACAACATCCACACGTAAGTAAATCCTATGCGTTAATTTGTATAGAATGTTAACAAAATAGATTGTAAAATAAAGTTTATACTAATTTAGAATATTGCTAATTAGAAATGAGGTTTGTAGATCCTGAATTTTTATTAGCTAAGGGTAAAAATAAAGAAAAGAGAAAACTTCTTCTCCCTTGGCGTTTATCTTTACTGATGTACTGAGGATGCTGACATCAATCGAAAAAACTAAATCTTTTTCCAGATTCAATCAGCTTCTTCTTGTTAGCAGTATGCTTTTAATTTTCATAAATCATGAGGATATTCTACTCAAATGATCAAAATTGAAAGCAGAAATGACTGGCAATGGAATTATTGGGATCCAAGACCTTTAAAAAGTATTGGAAATGTGGGCTAGTGAACCAGTGAAAGCAATTCAAGGCCAGTTCCTCTCAGCCAGATGCCAGAGCCCAATTACAGATGTTACGAACACTTCATGTGTCATGAGTCTTTATTTCCTTGCTCTTTTGCCTTCTGAAACAAACAGACACAAACACGTACGCATTTTGCTTTGTACACAAACATGTATACAAACGCAATTAAAGCCAAACATGAATGGTTCATATAAACATATATGGCTGTTAAAACATTATAATTTAATTGATCAAGTAATATGTACACTAAATATGCTCAGGTCAGTAGTCATTGAGCTTTTGTTAAACCAGACATCATAGGTTTTCCAGTAGCATTTTCCTTGGAGAATTCCAGATTGTGTAGTCTCAACTATCCTCATGTGGTATAATTCCCAGAAAAAGTATAGCAAAGGAGAGTGATGTTTTTCTTAATGTATAACTTTAGATTATTTCTAAGGAGTAAGGGCCTACACAGCCACTTTAGATAGTGCTGACAGATAATCAAGTATATTTCTTCTTGTTTACGGCGAATCCTATCACTGTAGGGCAAAGCCTTAATACTCATGAAATCGGCTCACACACCGCTCTACAAAAGAAACAGTGAAGAAAGCAGATGTTCAAGGCACTTACACGCTTTGTCACACAGCATGCATGTTGTAGGCCCTTGGTCCTTTGCCAATTTATGTGTAACTATCAAGAAGTTATTTATTAAAAATAAGCGGCAAAAAGCTCTTGCTACTCCATTAAACCTAGTTCTTTCGACCTTGCAGAAAGGGGTAGTATTGACTCTTTAAATGTCAGCAAAAGTCTCCCTGACTCTAGACGGAAAGCAAGGAAGGAAAGAAACAAGAGCAGTGTAAAAGGGAAATTATGATACAGAAAAGAACAAAGGCAGGCAAATTTGGACCCGGAAAGTTGACGTCATCATAAAGCCACTAAAAAGCAAAGCGTGCATTGAGGATGAGGCTTACAAAGCCATGGGTGATTCCAAAGACCAATTCCTGGGATTATCAAGCGCATGCTAGCAAAAAGAATTAAAATTAAAAATAGAAATAAAAAACTGATGTGTTTTAGTCAATTCTCAAACGTTGACTATCTTCTTAAACCATTAAGAATCTCTTCCACAGGCCACCTCATGACAAAAGGTTCGGAATGCTACAACGAGGCAATAACATATACAAACAAGGGAATGGGACAGAATAGCTGAGAAATCAATGGAGCAAAGATGTTATAAGAAGCTAACCAGCCCATAAGGAATTATCTGGAATAAAACAAGTGCGAGAAATGGTGAACATCTCCTACAGTCCATAACAGGAAAGATAACATGTGCTTTGAGATTGATTGCAAGCAATGTGGGAAGTTTTCATGGGGTGGCTGTGGTTTGCATGTTGCTTCAGTCTACAAAAAGATAGAGAAAGGTAAGCACTGCACATGACGGGCGTGGCCTGGAGTAGCCATGGCCTCCAGCAATACATTTGGTACCTGCATCAAGCAGAGGTGAAGAGAGAGGCTCATCTTTCTTTGTATTGGGATCCCTTTTTGTGGTGATAGCTTGTTTTTGTTATCTAACCTACATTTAGGAAACTAACGTTATCCTGGGATAAGTTGCTATTTTGTATTTGATATCCTGTTTGTAGATAAATCACCATCTTGTTGGTTAAATATGACTGATTATTCCATACTTCCAACAATTAAACAGAAGCTACAAAATGTTGAATCAAGGATGGAGCCGTTGTACCAGAAATACTAGCATTTATGTGTCTTTTCTTTATTTTTTCTACTATTAATGAAACAAATCTTAGCATAATTGGTGTTATCTTAGAGATCACCTATTAGCAAATGTTCTAGTCTCTACAAACTTGAGAGTTGGCTAATTTTACCTAGGGGTGGAAATGAACCAAACAATTAATAAACAGTTTGGTTATTATTCGTCCAGATATTTGGTCATATTCAATTCGGCAATTCATTTAATGGTAAATAAATATTTTTTAGTATTTGGTTCATAAATGAAAAGAACTTGACCAGAGGTATATTCGATTCATTTGATCATTAAATATTCATTTATATTTTTCTACTTCTATATTATTACATTATATTATCTTTTATGTGTGCATAATATTTCTTGCTATTTATAAGTATTATATCAATAATTTATAAACATACAATGTAATAATTCTTATAGTGAAATATCATAATAATAATTAAGCAAAGCATTACAAAAAAATAAATAAGAAAATACTTCAAACATAAGGTTTGAACTCAAGAGTTCATTCTCAATGATCTTGTGCCTTACCAAGTATGCTAGTGAGATATTCACGAACATTTAACAAATTTCATCTAATTAATTAATTGAATTTTGAAGCACTGCTTTCGCCTATTCAACACGAATTTGTATCGAATTTCGAATTCATAAAAACTAACCGGATGCAAATCTGAACACCATGGTATTTGATTCGATTCGGTTCGTTTCCATCCCTAATTTTTACCTCTCATATTTATGGTGTACCTGTGTGAAACCTTTTAATATGTGAATAATATATTCTACTCCTATCTACTTTCACCCTTTGGGTTGTTGGCAATTTTGGTTCAGAATTTCTTTTTTTCTTCTGAGGGAAAGGATCGGATCTGAGGACCCCAGACAACAAAAATTTTGGTTCAGAAATTAATGCTCTGAATGTGGAAGATAGAGTTGGTGAAAAAGAGGATAATTGTGAGATGCTATATTTTGCTTTAGTTTGACGAGCAAGTTTGTTGATACAATATACCAATCCGACATCATTATTTTGCCAACAAGAACGTACCAAAACTTTAGCCTGCAGGCTACTGGAAGTGATAATTACTCTGAAAGTGTGCACAATCATGTAGAATACAAGTATTTAGCTGCTGAAGAATTTACTCCAATCAAAACCGTCTACTAGAAGTAATCTAGACGTAAATGTCTGAGTAATAATTATGTCAGTTTATCTTGTAATGGTTCTGCCAGGTTGGATGGATAAAGAAGGCTTATTCAAGATCACAAGAACAATAATGGCAAACATACTAATGTCTGCCTATGTATATCAAAGGTCATGTACTCCAGAAATGAGAAGCAATAATTACATGTCACTGTATGCAATAATTTATGAATATTATTCACAACCAATGGAAATGTGTAGCAACCAACTTTTAATTGTTTCAAGATAGTTTCTCGTGGAGGGAGAGTTCCATAATGGTGTCAACTACCGCTAAGCAAAATATAGCAAAAACTAGGGCTAAAAATTCATGATATGGTAGAGGAGTCATGACCGTGTACCTTCTTATGACATTCCACGCAGCTCAGACAATCATAAGGAGTTCACGTCGGACAGACTTAACCATGTGAAGACATGATATTCTACAAAAATATTGCACTCACTATTCCTTGTCTAACCCACCAGGACCTTGCAAAATGGCTGCTATTTTAATTAAATTCAGAACGTGACAGAGACCATAGCTAACTAGCAGTATAATGACGTTAACATAATGAAACTGGACAGTGCATGCCAAGAATGGGCTCTACAGGTGCATGACAGAGCTTTATGAAGGGTAAGTTGCTAAATAGTCGCTCTCATAGGCCCTTGTTTTGGCGGGAAGGCTCGCCTTTCACTCTGTCTTCCATTCAAATAAAGCTCGGTTTCATTTTCATAGCATATAGTAACTTTCAAAAATAGTTTTATGTTTGTGTCCTAAACTATATCATCTTTTAGTTATACCCTTACAAGGATTTCTGATGCCTAGTTGAAACAAGGTCAAATTATAGCCTGTTATATCAGCTAGCACTATTGACAGTGGCCCTTTGTTGGGTTCGTGTAAAGAATTATCCTCACTGGTCACTGCAATAATCTTGATGAAGTCCACCAGGAACAGTTATAATGCAGAGCACCTGCTACTCACTGTTACAATAAAAAACGAGATCTTGATTATAATTAAATAGCAGCATAATGTCACTAACATAACGAGATTATAGACACTCCATTGGGCTCAATGATGTATGGAAGTCGAAAAAATGACACAGGATCACCTGGAACCAAGAGATGCAGCACCCTGAATAGTCAAATGATTCAAGCTCTGTAATGTTCCTTTGGCCCCATTGATGAATGGCTATTGTGTGCCTATGCAAGCTAGTGAGTCATGAGCAACCACTTCGATTGCTACAAACAAACAATGCCAGAACGCAAAGGGAAATGAAAGTGACACAGTGGCCCCTCAAGGGAGCTTCTCTGGCTCATATATCTTGGTTTTTGACCATGTATTTAATGAAAATAAGTTAAAGTTTGCAAACATCAATAATGCAACAATACCACCAACAACAACAACAACAAAATAAAAAATAAAAATAAAAGGGAAAAAAACATTGCATACCTCTAGACCTTTGGTATCTATTGGGCTCTGGACATTTTCTGTATCTATTGGGCTCTGGACATTTTCTTTCTTTTCTCGGCTTCATGTGCTGCCCACGAAATGGGTGGATAGAATATTTACTACGCTTTTTGAACAGCCTGCAAAGGTCTCATGATGTGAGCTCAAAAGGAAAGAGAGAATAAAACAACGCAAGAGGTGGAGCAACGAGAAAGGAAGCAAGACACAGAGGAACAGCTCAAAGTATCGTATGTTTTGCACTCCAAGACAAATTACAATAAGGAAATGCCATCAACAAACGCAGAGTTAGGTTGGAGCATTAAAAGCTAGGGATGATTAAAAACACACTTTATTAATTACCTGCTTGCTTTCAAGCTTCAGAGAGATCCTCGGGCGATTATTATAAGTAAAACCTGCAGCAGACTTTAAACAAACACTAAAATTAGCTCCTTTTTAGGTGCGTCGTTCAAATGCTCTTTGTCCCTCTTGCCCGTTTGGAATCCCCTTCTTAAGAAAACGCCTCTCCTTTCTTGGCTCGGGAGCTGCAGTAGACGAACCAGCAACCAATATTACTCAGAATTTATGAGATTTTTGAAGGATTTAGAGTGAAAGTTTGAAAAAAATGGCAGAAGAGAAGATGGGTTCCAAAGGGCAAGCTTGGTTCTGTGCTACTGGATTGCCCAGCGATGTCGTGATCGAAGTCGATGACATGATATTTCATCTTCACAAGGTAACAATTCGAACCCTAAATCTCTGTTTATATCAACAACGGCTTCTAAATTTCCACCTTTTGCTTCATTATCCAGTTCCCTCTAATGTCCAAGAGCAGCAAGCTCCATCATCTAATCACAGAGCGAGAACAAAACCCTAGAACACGGACCGATGAAGAAGAGGAAGACGAAGAGATCGAAGAGGAGGAGCTCCCTCACATCTCGCTCCCAAATTTCCCCGGCGGTTCCGGAACTTTCGAGACCGCCGCCAAATTTTGTTACGGCGTCAAGATCGATCTCACCGCCGCCAACGTCGCCGCCCTCCGCTGCGCTGCAGAATACCTAGAAATGACCGAAGAATTCTCGGAGGATAACCTAATCAACCGAACCGAGCGTTTCCTCGCCCAATCCGTGTTCAGAAGCCTCAAAGGATCCGTCAAAGCCCTAAAGTCCTGCAACACTCTCTCTCCTCTCGCCGAGGACCTCGGCATCGTCCAGCGATGCATCGATTCGATCGCCGCGAGGGCGAACGCCTCCGACTCCGCGGCCAGCTCTCTCTTCGGTTGGCCGATCGCCGACGCCGGCGCGCGGGATCTCGGCTTCTCGGTCCGTCGGAAAAACAACATCAAAGGCGGATCCGACCCGTGGTTCGAGGATCTGACGGCTCTCAGCCTCCCGATCTACAAGCGCGTGATATCCGCCATGAAAGATAAAGATCTGAGCTCCGACATTATCGAAGGATCTCTCATCTCCTACGCGAAGCGATCGATTCCAGGTCTCTCAAGGTCAAACCGGAATCCTGCTCCAACTCCATCAACGTCAGAAATCGAACAAAGAGAGCTTCTCGAGACCGTAATTACGAACCTGCCACTGGAGAAAAGCGCCGCCGGTGCAAACACCACAAGGTTCCTGTTCCGTTTACTTAGAACAATCAACATCCTGAGAGCGTCGGAAGCTTCTAGAACATTGCTGGAGCGAAAAATAGCGTCGCAATTGGAGCACGCGACTCTTGACGATTTGCTGATGCCGAGTTATTCGTACCTCGTGGAGACGTTGTATGACGTGGACAGCGTGGAGAGGATTTTGGGGTATTATTTGGAGAAGGTGGAGGAGAATTCGTCGGCGATTGTGGCGGTGCGGTGGCCGAAGAGGAGGCGGTGAGGTCACCGGGTGGTGAGAACAGTCCAATGGTGAGAGTTGGGAGGTTGGTTGATGGTTATTTGGCGGAGATTGCGTCGGACGCGAATCTGAGGCCGGAGAGGTTCTGCGATCTGGCGCTGGCGCTGCCTGAACGCGCGCGGGTTTATGATGATGGGCTGTATCGGGCCGTCGATCTCTATCTCAAGGTAAAATTAATTGGGAATTTTATTAGTTTTCTTGGACATTCTTAGTAGCTCTATTCTAATTGTATCATTATTGGAGTGGGTTTATCTCAGCATTTTATAAAGCATGTTCAATAAAGGACGACCACAGTGACTATATTAGTAAACAATTGCATATCATTTTGACATTTTATATATTTATTTTGACATTTTATATATTTGTAATCGTAATATTAATAGTAGTGACTAGTGAGCTTATTGCATAATTTTTGAAGCACATTGAAGCAAAGAAAGTATTTCTAATACATTTGTAACACTAATAATAGTGAGCTTATTAAGCATAAACCAAGAAAAGAACAAAACCGAAAAATCCACCATAATGCCCTATGTCCTTAAATAATGATCCTCTGCATAGACTTAAAAAAAACTGTAAATATATATGTATTATTCTCACTGAAAGTTTTATGTAAAATTCTAACTTCCGTCACGATAAGCTGATCGTAGAAATTGTCTTTTCATACTGGGGATATACATGACATAGCAACCGATTGTGGGATACTCAAAGGGCGAAGTATGGACCTTGCAAAAAAAAAACAAAAGCTCGAGTATGGACGCATTTGCTATCTGCATATGCGCATGAAAAATTCTCTTTCTTTAAACTATTTTACCAACCGGACATTCATTCTGGCAATCTGATAGAAGTTAGCATCAAACTAACAACGATTTATTACATTTTTTTTTGTATGTTCTGAAAGGCACACCCACGGATATCCGAAGAGGAGCGGGACAAAGTATGCAGCGTTATGGACTGCCGGAAGCTCACACTAGAAGCCTGCACCCACGCGGCCCAAAACGAACGCTTGCCTCTCAGAGCCGTAGTCCAAGTCCTCTTCTTCGAGCAGCTCCAGCTCCGCCACGCAATTGCTGGGACCCTCATCGCCGCCAACGCGATTGGCGAACAACCAGACCAGCAATCAGGATCCTTGGCCCATCGAGAGAACGACACATGGCGGACTGCTATCAGGGAGAACCAGGTGCTGAGACTTGATATGGATAGCATGCAGAATAGAGTGCAGGAGCTGGAGAGGGAGTGTTCGAATATGAGGAAAGCGATAGACAAAGTGGGCCGGAGAACAAACCGGGCGAGGAATGGGTCAGATCGGGCTTCAGCTGGGAGGAGATTTGGGTGTAAGTTTGGGACTAAAGTTTGTGATTCGCAGGAGAGGACTGTGATGGAGCCGAGGAAGTCACAAACTGAGCATCAGCAGAGTCCTTAGGTTCAATTTGGGATGGTTTCAGGGTACATGTACTGTTTGTTTACACGCCCTTTTCATATTTTCACAAATTGGGATTTCAAGAGTGGAAAATCTTCTTTTTTGAATAGTTAGCTACTTGGTTTGGAATTCTAAAGAAGCGATTAAGCATCTCATGGGTCCATAACTGTAAGATAGAAGTCAAGAGCAGATAGCATAAAAGTCAATAAATTAGTAGAATCATTCTTATTCTACCCAAAAAAAATTGTTGAAAGTTATTTTAAAGTGATCAAAGAAAATAATTCGCAATATTAAAAACAGAATTGAAGACTCCTACTGATTTGTTCATGCACAAAGTGATAAATAGTAATAGGTGTACATTCATTCATATGTAAGTGCAGTTCAAAATATCTACGAGCTTTATTTGCATAACATTATTTCAATCACTTGTTTACAGCCTCCTGAACTATTGTCAAATATGTTCATATATTATCGATCTTTTCAGCTCACGAATCTAGAAATCACTTGAACTCCAAGGTCATCTTTGAGACGTGAACTACCCTCAAAGTAACTAAAATATTAAATTTGTTTATATTCAAAGAAACACAACTCCAACTACTCCCATCTCACCTATCCCTCACCAGAAATCCCCGCAAGAGCACAAACCATCCTTGAAATGATGAAACCTCTTATTATCTCTCACAATAATCTCCCTCTCCACAACCTTCGACATAAACTTCACGGCATTATGACAGTCTCCACATATCCTGAGGTTCTTCATGATCCTCAACGTAGTCCCTGGTGCCGTGCTGATAAGCCCGTAAGCTATTGCCAGTCTCTCGCTATGATACATAAGCGCCTTCTCCTTTGCCTCCTCATCTATATCATGCAATACAAATCTTGTATCAGGCACATATCCTGCTTCTCGTAGTTCCTTGTGCAATTCCCTAACTTTCTCATAAGCTTCTCTCCTCTTGGGGTCTGAATTGTTGTTATTTGACCTTTCTTTTGTTCGAATGGGCATTTCATCAAGCAGACGGCGAGCGTTCTCAGCACTGCCAAGCTTGCAATATACTGCAGCCAGTTTATTGATGACGGAGGTGCTTCTTGATGATGGGTGTCTTTTTAAATGGTGGTGGGCTCTTCTGAATAAGGATAAAGATCGCGATTCTGCGCAACCTTGAAGAAGTAAAGAGAGGGACTCGAGTTTGAGGGGAGCTCCCTGTCTCTCCATTTGGGATGCAATTTGAAGAGCAGCATCTAATTTTCCTGCATTGCATAGGGTTTCAACGATTGAATCAGAAACTTCTCGCTGGAAGTTTTTCGACGGAAAGTTGCTGATCATATTGCAGGAGAATCGACGAATCCGAGCGTTGCTTGGTGAATAATGCCAATGGGATTGGTGAACGCGGCAGCTCTTGGAGTTGGGTGGTAGGAGGAAGATGTTAGAAGCACCTGAAAACATTATAGAACAGGAGAGCATGTTCGGAGCAAAGTCTAGACAGAGACTGTGATAAAAAGATGATATCTCCAACTTCAAGAGTTCACGAGGAAGCAAAATACACAAGGGTCTTTAATTACAAAAATATCCTTCAAATTGTTCAAAATCACAGGATAGCAAACCAAAACGAGTATTGCACTGTGAACAAATCGTAACCACAGATTCAGAAGGGCGAAAACACTTAGAATTAACTATAAACTAAAAAGAACAGAAGTAACGTCTGGTCGACTAGCTTATTTAGGATAGAATTAAACATCTACCTACCATCGTTATACAAAGTTTGTCCCAGAAGAAAATAAATTAAAAACACCATCTTTTACCATAGAACTTTTAAATATTCAAGAGATCCTGCTTGCTTATCACTCCACTAATTGTAAGGTCAGTTATTCTCAGAGACTGTTTTTCAAAATTACATGGCTCAAATGGGAGGAATATTATTGGAAACGTCAAATGCCTGCGAGAATTCAACTACAAAATTACATGACTTCCCTCACTTTACTTTCAGGTGATGTTCACAAAAAATTACATTATACATAATGAAGGATTTATTTATGTTGATGAAGAACTCAGAAGAACAAATTGATGTTACATCGAAACTCTACGTACCTGAAACTTCGATCAGGTAACTATGCTGCTCATATTAGCCTGGTACTGATTGTTTTCCATGCTAATTTGGTCATTTATACCTATTTACAAGCAATGAATTTGTTGCCCAGTTTGATGGCATCCAATGAGTCAATGACAATATAAGGGTTGTTCATAATCCAAGCAGATTCATTCCTCTGCAAGCATACCCTACCCTGGAACTTCCGAATCAAAGACCAAACTTTGTTCAAGAGAAAGCTGGAAAATTTCAGAGAATTCCTTCAACAAGGATTCACAAGTGAGATCCATTAGTTCGCAATCTCCGTATTTCGTCCCATAGGATGATCCTCCCAAAAGCTCTCTGACACTTCCCACCCCACGATCTTGTATTCCACAAGGAACAATGTGATTAAAGGGAGTCAAATCTGTAGTTACATTCAACGCTAACCCATGATAAGTTATCCATCGAGAAACTCGAATCCCAATTGCAGCAACCTTTTGTTTTCCTACAGAATCCAAAGTGGAAAAAAGGTTGTCACTACGAAGCTCAATATGTGAATTATAAGGCAAAAATTAGAACTCTTAACGCCGGCATATGTTTTTCTTCAAAATGACAATGTATTAAATCTAAAAAGCTTTGTCAGTAAAAATCATTGGGACAACATAGAGAAGAAGAACACACCTACCCACACTCCAGTCAAACCCTCAACCCTCGATGCATTTATGGAAAATGTTGATCGAAGAACTCTAATTACCACTTCTTCAAGTGATCTCAGGTACCAATGGAGATCCATTTTGTGGAAGCGAAGATTTATGATAGGATACAAAACAAGCTGCAAGGATTGGACACATACTTGGACAAATTAGAAGAAAATAATAAGAGCTCAAGAAAATATCTCATTCCAAAATATCTCATTCCAGTACCTAGACCCTAAAAAGCTTCCCGAATCATTTTTCCATTTATCTTTGATCATATTTCTTTCTTCTTTGCACCCAATATATGTTCGTTTAATCATACAACTTGATGAAGAAGGAACTAACGTGTCCCTGTTCTAGCTTCTATTAATGATTTTATCCTCTTTTATTAAGGGCAGAAACTGAAATAATTAAAACCCTAAAAACGTGGAAGATAGACTACTTGATTACATATGATTTCACTATTCGAGATGCTTGACAGTGCACCACTGGTACTTCTTTACATATTATATCATACATATAATAAGGAACATCTTAGAATATCTTTCTTACGTTTCTTTAGATATTCGTCTCATATGATATAATAAAATAAGTCCCCTCGCACACTTCATATAGCAAGGTAGGCGAGCAGTGATGAAGGTAGCTTATGAACCTTAAATTCAGCTACTCCCTCAACCAGCTTTTGCAGATGAAACCAATTTTTACAATAGCAAACTTGTTCAAATATTTGAGTCCCGTCTGGTTTAAGTATGGATTCAGGTGTCAAATAAAGTAGAACCTGCCATTAGTTTGTTAATGCAAAAGGTAGATACCCTTTTCATTCAATGCTTTGCATGATAAGAGGCTGTGAACTCTTGAGAACTGCTGCTGAAAGTCCAACAGCATCATTAACAATGTCACAAAGATAGAGCTTTATGCGCTCGCAGAAAGTGAGGAAAACAACTCTTGCCACTTGACCATATTGTGCACTCCAATGGATGGGCAGAAAAACTAAATTGCGCTTCAGGATCCTCATTTCTAAATCAAATAAATCTAATTCCTATCCAAACCAAGGGGCAAGAACAACAATCTATTACTCTGGTTAAGAAAACTGCTTGATAATTATTGCAGCAAATATTATAATATTTCATTTGTGGTCAACCAACTCTCCAGAAACGAAAATCATAGATACTATAGATACAAAGGTCATTGAAGTATTGCACGTCTGCAAGATTAATTAATGTCAAACTCGTGAGTGATTATGGACAAGAAAAATAGAGAACACAGACGGCGCATGCTTGTTTCAACTTAAATGGAAAGATAGATAAGTGTCTTTGGTACATTATAGACAATGAAAATATGAGAGAAGTTCAGGAAGACACTTTTAAGACGTCAGCCTGCACCAAAATCTATTCGCAAATTTGCAATATATGTAAGAATGTCAAACTTTAAAGAACATCAGGAATGCAAACAAATTTTGCAAAGGGATGAAAGGTTCAGGTTCAAGGTAGAAGGGCCGTTAGTCAGGTAAGGACAGATTTGAACACAACACCACATAAACCTGCTGATCGTTAAATCATCAAAAGTAGGAATGCACCACCTAAGCACACAAAAAATTTCATTTCTTCTTTAACTTTTTTGAATGTCATGAATTCATGAATAACAAATACTTGATTTTTAGAATTTTGATAGGATAAATCAGTCTACTGGCTGTTTTACTAAATACAGACAATAGGCCCTGGCCATTCAGCTTCCTCTGCAGTAAATTAATGTTATAATAGAGTTTCTCGATGTTGTAAGTTGTAACTGAAAAATACTACATGTATTTAAAAAAAGGACTCATTTGCATTAGATGATATAGACAGGACGGAAGTTGTATAGCTAGAAGTTTACTATGGAGTAATTTGATCGAAGGCCAAATAAGCAGATGTGAGGATTGTGGTGTCCCAATTCAGCTAATGGTGCCTAGAAAGTGTTTGTATTAATTATGTGAAAAATCTAAAATATGGAAAAATGGCTTTTGGACTTTTAGACTGTATGTTTGGAAAAGTGCCCTACATTGTCCGAGCTTTCAACAATCAAAATATTATCAGAAAATATAGGCAAAAGATGCATTCAGTTTGGAGCAAAAAATAATCTAAATCATTACAAGAATGAGAGGCAAACAAAATACTTATATGTTGTTATGATATGAGTACCTGTCCAGGCCCATGGTATGTAACTTCCCCACCACGTTCAGTTCTGTATATATCATAAGGAGCATTTTGAACATCAAAGTTTAAATACTTCTCCTGACCACCAGTGCCTAATGTATATACAGAAGGATGTTGAAGAGCAATTAGCGAGTCGGAGTGATCTTCATCTCTATCGACCATATTATGCCTCCTGTCTACCATTGACTTCTGCCACGACCAAGCTTGTTTGTAAGGAACAAGTTCATTGTGGAGGTCCAAGCATTCACACCTGATGAACAAAGTAGCCACTTAGGTGTGATTTCAATACAAATCAACGGTTAACAGGTTTTGAAAGTAGAATATTTAAGGAACGACATCAGTCCTGCATTAAGAATACAGCTCTGTGACCAATGGCAGATTTATGAATGTTTCTTCATGAAAATCATTGCGTTTAATAGTACAGCACTTTACTATAGAGTGAGAACAAAAGAATCATAACTTTCTACTGAACTACTTTGAGAGTAGGTTAATCACCTTACTTTTCAATCCTTAAAACAACATTGAGTGGCAAAATAAGCTTTTCAAAATAAAATAAAATCTTCCTTCTAAATGTCAATCTATGTTTTCAGCGTCCTTCTAAATGTCAATCATCAATGATCAAAGTACTTGTTAAGGCTATTGAATATCTTTATCAAATGTGGGTAATGTAAGTGAAAGAACAAATGACCACATTGAAGACTAACATTTCACATGGCTAGTAGTTGGGTTCTTAGATACTGCCGGTAGGCCGAAATGAAACAGATTTGAATTAGAGTGGGGAAGCTTCAAATATCCATCCCAGGAATGTAAGTGAAAGAACAAATGACCACATTGAAAACTAACATTTCACATGGCTAAGTAGTTGGGTTCTTTAATGCTGCCTGTAGGCCGCCGAAATAGTTTGAAACACAGCTTTGAATTAGAGCGAGGAATCTTCAAAGATCAATCCCCAGAATGTAAGTGAAAGAAAAAATGACCACATTGAAGATTAACAATTCACGTGGCTAAGTAGTTGGGTTCTTTGATGCTGCTTGTAGGCCGAAATAGTTTGAAACATAACTTTGAGTTAGAGCAGGGAAGCTTCAAATATTAATCCCAGGATATAGAAAACTATTTTAAAATTGACAAGGCAGAAACTAAAAAGTTTTGCGGAATTAAATCAAAAACATAGTATTTATATTTTAGACAGAATCAAAATTATAAATTAAGTAATTAACTAACCTCCTGGTCACGTGATGCCTTGATTTGGTAGCTCCTCCAATCTCCTTGAAACAAATTTGATTTCTCTTCGGGGAATCAGCACAAGATAATGGTTGAAGCCATGACTTCTCACATGAAGAAAATGAGCAGAAGAGCGCGGGAATTGCCAGGATCATTTTGTTTCATCAAACTGCACCACACAATTCAAAGTCCCAGCTCACAACGAGAAAAGCAAATTAATCAGCATAGAATAAGATATGTACAAAAACAATACCATTGGATGGTTTTTTTTAGTAGAAGTATGGCGTTATGCTTCATTTATTCATTAATTTGGTAAATTCTCTAGTTTTTTTTATAGAATCTATACAAGCAACCGCAACAAGTAGTAAAGTAACTGTATCGATTCGCCTAGTGATGATCTTCATCGTAGCAGAACTAGGTGTGCAAACAGACTGGATATGGAATTTACCATATCAGTATCTGCTTACTAAAAACGGGTACATTTTTCACTTCGATTAGAAAAATATGTGGATAGAGATAAAATTAGAGCAACAGATACAAATAAGGTTCAAACATGGCTGTGAAGCACTTCACCTGACATAGACTATCTGAGTTGAACACATGTAGGCAAAATATGTATATTGACTTCTCTATTTTCCAACAAAGAGATAGAAACAAAGTTTAAAGATTGCAATATATTATTTGCTATCTATTTTTAAAGAAATGAACAATATCTTGTATTAGGGGTGGAAACGAATCGAATTTGAACGAATAGTGCCTTATTCGAATTCGGCTCAAATGGCACTATTCGTATTCGTGTTCGAATTCGACTTGAATAATATTCAGAATTCGAATTCGGCTTGAGTAATATTCAGAATTCGAATTCGGCGATTCGCTTGTTTTAGTTGTGATCGTGTTCAGTAACTATTCGCGAACATTCGATTAACAATATTTCATGTTTTGATATCAAGTTATTCATCAACTATTCGAGTAACTATTCGCGAACATTCGATTAACAATATTTCATGTTTTGATATCAAGTTATTCATCAACTATTCGATATCTGTTCGGTAACTATTCGATTAACAATATTTCATGTTTTGATATCAAGTTATTCATCAACTATTCGATATCTGTTCGGTAACTATTCGATTAACAATTTTTGTTTCTAAATACAAAAAGGGAAATCGAGGCTGGAACTTTACCGGTGGGCGTCGTCGCGGGGAGGGAGGACGGCGTCGTCGCTGGGGGAGGGCGTCGGAGAGAGAGGATCGCAAATCCTCGGCGAGGGAAGAGAGAGTCGTCGCGGGGAAGGAGGATGGCGTCGTTGCGGGGAGGGAGGACGGCGTCAGCGGGAAAGAGAGTCGTCGGCTGAGAGAGAGAAATAGGTGCTCGGTTGGACTTGGGATTGTGATTTGGACCTTGATTTGGATGGGGACAACGAATCAGGGAGATAGAACCAATGTCAACTATCAACAGCTATCACGGTACAAAGATTGTTTTTTTTTTTTTTTGTGAGAGAAGATAAAGGCTAAAGATTATATATGCAGATTTATCTGTACCTGGATTTTGAGAGAGGATCTGGGAATCGCCGGAGTTAATGAGCGTGAGGTTTTGGGGTTTTGAAATCCTGCTCTTTTAGTCTTCTCCGTGCGACAAAAGTCGCCACCATTTCCTGCGGAGACCCCTAAGATAGGAGGGGTGAGTCAAACCGGTCAGTGCTTAGTGACCCGACCCGACCCGACCCGCTGGAAGTTGGATTGAATCGGGCTTTATTCGGGTTAATGGGCCTTAGCAACGAATTGATCAATTGTAAACTCGGATTAGTCTCCGGTGCGGTGGGACTTTCTAGTGAAAACTCCAAATGGTGTTGTCTAGTATCAATTAAAATTTAAAGAAATATATTATTACTCGTAAATAAATTTTTTTTTTAACTTCCAAACATGATTATGATTAGATAAGGATACATAATCTGTGATTTGAAAGAAATGAATGATTCATTTTAGCTAAATGAATTAACCTATGTAAATATTTATCAGAGTGTCAAGTGTAGATTATTAAAAATATACATCTAGATCAGGTAAAAATTAGGTTTTTTTTTTAGATTTTATATGCTACCAAAGTTTCAGATACGGTCATCGAGCCTCTTCTGAAGTGAATTTAGGTTGCGAAAAAAATAATAACGAAGGTGAAACTCACCACACTTTTTAGCTATTAATTCCAATTCGATATGAAAAACTATGATTACACTTATAATTTAAGATTTCAGAAGAGGGTAAACCGACGTTTATCTCTTGTATGCCATTATCCATAGTTATAGAATTTGCTTGTGTTGGAAATTTATCAAAACAAATGTTATAGCCTTGTAAATTAAATCCGAATTAAAATAAGAAAGAGTAAAGAAAAATCAGGCCTGACGGGAGCAGTCGTGTAATCACTACCCTAGAAGATTGAGAACCCGTCTATCGCCCTGACGCAGATGGTTCCATCCCCCCTAACGGTAAAAGCCCCCAGAAACGACTGGCCTCTGCACTCGAGCGAGAATGCAGAGCTTCAACTCAGATGAAGAAAGTTGCCCATAAAATAAAACGAAGATATAGATGAAAGTAATATGTAGGGGAGAGAAGGAAAAACAAGAGAAACTTGTTGTATATTTTTCTTATAATTTTGAGCTCAACATACGGATATATATATAGGGTTGGAAAAGACGTTACAAAACCCGTAATTAATTCCGTAACATTCGTCATAATGTATAGCCATTATGCTCATTTTAATTTCTAATTAAAGTATATTTTTAATTACAAAATTTATTAGCATTCATTAAGGCAAAATTGCATTTTCTCCAACAAAATATCCAACAGCTTGTACATAGGTGGGAAAGGATATTTGCATAAGCAAACTGGTTTATTCACCTCTTCATTAACTCGTAGAGAAGGATATTTGCATTAGCCACCTGTTTTTTTTTTTTTTCCTCATCATTAATTCGTAGACTGACTTCTTAAAAGAAAATTTAGACTTTTGAGCATGGATTGTGACTAGGTCGCATTTGGTTACGATATGGTTCAGACATGACACTTGTTATATCTATATTTGCTTTTTTTTAAATGGATACGGATACACATATTCATCGATAAAAAAAAGTCAATACCTATATTTACAATAAACGAAAACAGATATGGTTCAGATATTAAAAAATTGGTTAAGACAAGAATATTATCGGATATTTGGAAAACGAATATGCATATGATATGAATCTTATATGACAAAAATTATGTATGATTACAATATCTTGAAATAAAATATAACTTAAAATTGCAATAATTTTTTAAAGACAAATCGAGAGAAAGCACCCTATTCAATCTGTATCTGTATATATATCTATAGAACTTTGAAAAATAGTTCGGTGAAAAAATGATAACATACGTACTAGAAGTTGACAGAAGCCAAACAATTCTCATTCCATATATTTATCACAGGAACACTTGAACTCCAGCCAAGGGCACTCCTAATTCAGTCATGGCTCATCTATTTCTCCACACAATTTAGAAAATTTGCAGACTTACAACACATTTTTCTACAATTTTTTGTTAAATCAGTCCCCTCATAAGTTTCTATTACAAGTTTAATAACAAAAGTTACCTACCAATGATCACATTACTACGTCCAAATATTAGATCTGTGATTATAACAGATCCAGATTCACCAAATTAGCATGAGAAAATTGTTGTGCGCAGCGGAAATTTCGGCATAGTTTCTGGTGCATAATAAGAGAGGAAGATCTCAATAAGAATTCTCGTCTTACCAAGGAAACAAGAATCTGAAGCGAACATCTTAACAAAGTGAGATATCGGCTCTTCCTCTTATCAGTTCTAGGACTGACTTGTCGAGGGAACCTAATAAACTATTACAATGGCCACAAACACAAACCATACAAGTTTTACGTGGTTCGACAAATTGCCTACATCCACAGGGCAAGGAGGGGGATCTACTATTAGAGAGGAGATAATACAATTAGGGTTTACAATCACTCAATCTAAACCCTCAAACTAACTCTCTAATCTCTCACAAAAAAGAACAACCGCCAAATAGGATTTTTCTCCTCTGCACGAAGTCCAAGAAAAATCCATAACATCCCTTTGCACACTGTCCAAGTCAATGCCTCTGCACAGAACTTCACGCAGCCACTTTTCTCTCTGCTCCCCTCACTTCACGCTGCCCTAGGAGAGAATCATCAACTATATATATAGCAGATGATATCGGGTAACCGGGTAATCGGCTTTTGTCCATTGGACTCATCACTTCACGTGGTTTTGCATTCACATGCTTCTCTTACGCTCGTGGTCCCCACACACAAGCCAGCAAAGAGAGTCCTTCCCTTCACGCGTTTACCTCCAAAATCCGCTGGCTCATGCTAGCCTCCCACATGTCTTGGGCTTGTCCAAGGAACAAAATAAATCACCCTCACATGTTTTATCTTCTCACAATTCTCCACCTCAGTAAAGTTTTTCCAAAACTGAGCCGACACCAACCAAAATAAATGTCTAACTTGTTACGTCCAGGACAAAGTGAAAATAATTCACGACAACGGTCTCAATCCACAATAAGTCGAGAACCCAAACGAGAGTGCCAATACTCTCTAAATTTCGGTATCAACTCACCAAATCAATCTCACCCCCGTCAAAATCTAACTCGGCTGCATCATAAAGACTGCCTACGTATCTGTTTTCGTCAAAAGTTGATCTCGTTGTGGAATTTATTATATCTTCGGTCGATTACAACAAATTCAAAAGAAATAGCCTTTTTATAAGACTCCTCTTACATAACAAAATAAAAATTACAACTTTTTAGAAACAAACGCAGGATTGTTGTTTGGATCGCTGCTTGCGTGGGATCTTTGCCTGTGCCGGGGGTGCGTTAGCCCGTGGACCACCAAATCACAGATTCTGATTGAATCGTGAGGGGTTTAATGATTCTTCCTTCGTTTATCGAAGTAAGAATTTGAAGTGAATATCTTATCAAAGTAAGACGATCACTCTTCTTAAGATCAAGTCAAAGCTCGAATCTCAAGGAATTGTCAGAAGCTCAGGAACTCTGCTCTGTCTGCTCTAAAAATGCTCAGCCAATGGTCTCTGATCCGCCCCTTCAAGAATCGATCTCAGGGGGGTATTTATAACCCCTAGATGAACAGTGCTTCCGAGACAGTGTTTGATGTCTCGGCGGTCGAGACAGAGTAAACGCTGTCTCGCACGGCGAGACAGTAAACGCTGTCTCGCACGGCGAGACAGTAAACACTGTCTCGCACGGTGAGATAGTAAACACTGCCTCGTGTGCCAAGGCAGTCTACTCTGTCCTTGGTGTTCTTTTGATCTTTGGATGATCTCTTCTTGAGCTGTATTTGGATATCTTTCAGCATTTTTCGACGCCTACAAATACCCCCTCTAAAGTATTCCATACTCATTCTTTTATAGAGGAGTCTGGGATACTTTGGATAAGATAGATTTTACTTACGATCTCTTCAATACTTGATCGTGTAGAAGGATCCGTAAATGATTTTAACTCCTGATCTCTTCATCCTTTAGTCTATTCAGTTCTTTGTAGAATAGCTAATATTCTTTCGGTACTACGTTTATCGTTTGACCGTTGTCGAGGTCTTGAATCGAAGTTGGAATTTGTACCTGTGAATTCAGCTTTTATCATCAAATTGATACTGGATTGTTAATCACTGTTTCAGTCTTCATAAGAACACAGTTTATACTCATGTATTTTTTTGGAGTTTTTGAGAAATAGTTAACCTCATATACTCGTTGGGAGGTAGCCAGATTATTCTTAAGAATATTCTAAGTGATATTCTCCAGAAACTTCCTGTTAAGAGTAAGGAAACAGTTTAGACTCGTATACCTATTGGAGTATTTTGGTCTCTTTTTTGTTGGTAGAGATGAACCCGATGATGGAGAGGAAGAATTTTATATTCTATCTCCTGGTCTCTTTTTTGTTGGTAGAGATAAACCTGAAATCGGAGAGGAAGAATTTTATATCATATCTCCTGGTCTCTTGTTTGTTGGTAGAGATAAACCCAAAAATCGGAGAGGAAGAATTTTATATTCTATCTCCTGGTCTCTTGTTTGTTGGTAGAGATGAACCCGAAATCGGAGAGGAAGAATTTTATATTCTATCTCCTGGTCTCTTGTTTATTGGTAGAGATGAACCAGAAATCGGAGAGGAAGAATTTTATATTCTATATCCTTGTACAAAAGAAACTCAGAGTGGGATCTCCACTTAGAGAATCTGGACTGGTTTGAATAATCCTGACTGTCATAAGGTTTGATTATTCAATTCAAAAGTAGACCTCTCGTTCGTGAAATGAATCGAAAGGGGATTTTGGTTGTGGTCCTAACTGTAGTAAGGTTTGACCAAGTGGGAGTTTTGAGACGATCTTAACTGTATGAAAGTTAGGAATCGAGAGGGGATTTTGGTTGTGGTCCTAACTGTAGGAAGGTTTGACCAAATGGGAATTTGAGACGATCCTAACTGTTTAAAGGTTTGACCGTTCAATTTGTGGACCTCTCGTTCATGGAAGGAATCGAGAGGGGATTTTGGTTTTGGTCCTAACTGTTTAAAGGTTTGACCAAATGGGGACTTGAGACGATCCTATTTGTTTAAAGGTTTG